CAGGCCCCGGCCGGGCGCCACGGCGCCCGCTCTGCTGTCGGCCCCAGCTCTGCTCAGCCACGAAGGGAGCTCCCGGCCGGCCGCTCAGCGCCTCCCCTCCACCTCACCCCACGCCCCAGGGCGTCCCTGCTGCCTGCCGAAGAGGAAGGGGGGACCCAGTCCCGGTCCCCACGCTCAAGGCGGCTGGTGTGGCCGCCTCCCCCGAGGGGCAGCGAGGGCCCCGCCGGCCCAGTTCCCTCGCTGGGTGCTGACTCCCGGGAGCAGGGCCCACGCCCCACTGACAGGCCGCCCCCATCGAGGGCTGCCCTTCTGTGCCGCTCTGAAGCCTTGGGCCGGTGGCACCCCCCCGGGGGAGGGGCGGGCGCCACCACGCCCGTGCGCGTGGCCCAGTGGACATGCCTGAGCACACAGCACCCCGAGGAGCGGGACTGCAGCGCAGAGGGGCGCCGGGGGCCCCTGGGAATCTGAGCCCAAGCTGGCTGCCGCCGTCACCACTGTCCTCCGACCACCCGGCCGAGGGCTCCTTGTTCCCCAGCGGGGCAGAGTCCCCTGGGCCTGCGGAGCTGGGCGGTCACTCCACGGCCGGGCCCCTTCCGCGACGCCCGCAGCAGCACCCTAGGAAGAGCGGGGCTCTTCCCCTGTGGAGCGGCCGTGGGGACAGCAGGCGGGGCCAGGCCGCTGGACCATGCCTCTGGGAAGATGGAAACTTCCTTCTTGCCGAGGTGAGAAGTCAGAGCAGTTCCCGGGAAAATAACCAGTTTCCAGAGCCCGTGGGAGACAAGAACTGGAAAGATGCCTGTGCTGGGATCAGGTTCAGGCTTCTCTGCAGACGGGAAAATGGAGGCGCACGAGGGAGGGGGCCGCACCCCTCAGGCTCGGCCAGAAAGTCACGGTGTCAGCAGTGGGCCGACGCTGAGCTAGCGGGGCCCACGGCCGCCTCCCCACCCACGTCTGCCTCTGGCGTGGCCAGCACCTTCGAAGCACCCACTCATTTCACACCCACAGAACCCTGTGAGGGGACACGGCACCGGGGCCGAGGGTCCCCACTCTGTCCAGGCTGGGTTCTGACAGAGGCTGATTGGGGGGGGGCGCTATGTGAGGTATTATTGGGGAAACTGAGGCAGAGGGTCTCCCCAGACTCACCGAGGGTCAGGTCACAGGCCTCGGCGCCCTCCTGCAGGTCCACGCAAGCCCTGAGGCCGCCTGCCCCCAGGCCCTGCCCAATGCCGTGTGGGATTCCAGACCAGCTGGTCCCTGGGGCACGCAGCGCCCGTCCACTCACTGCCCGGTGCTTGACCCCTCGGCTCGGTCCCCACAGCGTCACAAGCAAAGCCCCTAGTGGACACTCGGGCAGTGGGCAGGTGCACCCAGACTCTGCAAGGGGCCACGACACGGTCCTGGTGCCCTCGGGCCAGGCCCGCGCTGCCCGAGTCACGGCCAGGGAACACACCGGCCCGGAGGCCCCACGCGGAGCCCACGCAGGGCCACCCTGCCCGCCTCCCCGATCACGTGCAGCGTTTGGGGACCGGTGAGACGCCTCAAAACACACACGCTCGGTTTTTTCTGGGTTGTTATGTCACTTTGGGGCGGGGCGGCCTGAGGAAATGACCCTAGTTTGGAACTCGAGGGGCGGAAATCTTTGTCCAAGCGGCTTTCAATAGTGAAAAGCTGGAAACCACCTAGAGGGTGGTCACAGGGCGGGGACCGACCCCTGGGCCTGCTTTGGCCGGACAGCGCAGGGCCGAGCAGTTAGAGACCGCGGCTGCAGGGGCAAATGCCAAGGGGGCAGGAGGAGGCCGACGGGTGCTGGGCAGGCCCGTGACGGGAACCCACGGTCCCGACTGCCGCCAGCGTCGCCAAACATGCCAAGAAGCGAAATCACGTGACAGCCTAGAAGTCCTTACGAAGCTGGAGAAACTGTAGGAGGATAGACGAGACTCGGAAAGGCGCCTAGGTCATGGCTTTGCAGTCGAGTTCAAGCTCTTAACCGTAAGGAACTTCACAGAGGGGTCCGGGAGCGACCCCAGACTCTTGCACAGTCATCTGGGGGGGAGCGGGGGAGAGGGATGTGCACCCCTGTCCCCCGCGGCAGCGCCCGGTGGGGTCTGGTCAGAGGGGCCCCCCGTGGGGGTGGCAGGACCGGGCAGCCTGTCTTCAGTGGCCCGGCCGCCCGCTGCGAGGCCAGGCTCTGTGGGCGAGGGCTGAGTGGCGGAAGCCAGCCTCTCACTGCTCGCACAGTCCCTCGTGCTTGGGTCAGGGCGACAGGAGGTTCCGCCGGGCCCGGAAACCCTCGCCTCTGCGCCGGGAGAGGCTCCACGCCGGGCCCAGGGGGTGAGAAGCTCGCCCCTCGCCTGCACAGCCCCAGCGGGGACCTCACTCACTGCACACCCGTGTGCACGGACACGCTCAGGCCACGGGCGCGTCTGCACCCACACAGCACACACACGCGCTTGCACACGCTTGCACACGCACACACTTGCACACGCTTGCACCCGCACACGCTTGCACCCGCACACGCTTGCACCCGCACACGCAGGGTCAGGCCCAGCCTCCCTCTTCCTGCTTTCACGCAAAGTTCGTTGGGTTGAAGGAAGTAGACCGTGAGTACCTTTTCTCCTTGGGCTCCCTTCGCACCCCGTTCTCCCTGCAGACCCTGGGGGGAGAGGAGGTCGGTAGCACAGAGTCTCGGGACCAGCTCTGCATCTCCCGCTTGAGGGCTGCGGACCGGCGGCCTGGGACGCCACGACGCCCCGTCTCCCGCGGCACTGACGCCACACTTGGCTGCTTCTGTCCCCCGCCCCGCCCCCGGCTGCTGGCACCCTGGGGTGGGCAGCAGGAGCTGATGAGTTGGGCTCTTCCCAGAGGGAGGCCGGGCGGCGCGGCCCCCCAGAAGGCACGAACACGTCCGCTGTGATGACCCAGTGTCCCCCGGCCACCGGGGAGCAGGGGCCGCGGGACCCTGGAGGTCTGAGCGCAGAGATGCCGCCAGGTCCGTGCTGGCTCCAGGGTGACACCTCCATCTCCGGGGCTGGCAAGCGCCGCGGGCACAGGGGCGCAGGGACTGGACTCGGGGTGCCATCCCAGACGGCGCAGGCTCTGAGAACCGCCTGGCCCGGGCAGCCGAGGCTCCAGACCACCTCGCTCCCGCCGGCTACTTTGGCCGGACACCGACACAGGGCTGGAGCGTCCCCGAGGCAACGCAGGCCACTCCGTGTTGGCCGCACCACGCCATTCTTTGGGGGCAGACTCAGTGAGACCACTTTGCTCCTCAGAAACCACTTCTATTTGCTGACCACTGGCGTGCGGCCACTACACCTCTTGCGTGTTTCCAGGCTGGGAGTGTGTGGGCTCCGCGCCCGCCAGGGCAAGGTGTAGATGGCCTCTGGGAGCCGGACACCCCTGGGCTCGGCTCAGACCCACGCTGCACTGTCGGGGCTGGGTGTGAGGGGGTGCACGTCGGCCTGTCCCCCCGCAGGGGTGGGCACCGTCCGCGTGGCTGGCCGGGCAGGTGCAGGAGGGGCCTGTCCTGCAGCCTGGGCCCGGCCCCCAGGACAGACTCCTTCACAGGGAAAATCTTTACTTACGGGAGCCCCGAGGTGTCCGTGAGGTCCAGGAAGCCCAGGTGGTCCTTGGGGTCCCTGCAGGAGGAAAGGCCAGGATGGAAGAAGGGAGACAGCGGCCCAGGAGCTGCACACAGCTCGCCCCAAGCGCCCTCTGCCGGCTCCTCCCGCCTGCAGCCCGCTGAGTCCGGGGCAGCGTCCCTCACACCAACGAGGGCGGGCCACGTGGACAGTCCACGAGGTACCGGGTGCCCGGGCCACCAATGCCGGGGCGGCTGACTCGGCAGAACCTACAAGACCTCTGGAGCCCTGAAGCTGCATTTCCTGAGTCAGCGTTAACCCAGGTTTCCTCGTCTAGTCCTGCTGAAGTACAGACACAGGGCACACAGGACGCAGGCACACACTCGCCCGGATAGGTCGTGGGTGGTGGGGACCCCAGTGCGTCGTGCCGAGGCTGACAGGGCGGCCTGAGACACGCTGCTGCCCGCCCGTGCTGGGCTACCCGGCCGGGGAGTGCACAGAGCAGGTGGGAGGCGACACCCGCATGGTGGGCAGGGGCCACGTGCGTGTCCACGCTCCGAGGGCAGCGGGCTTGTCCGGGGGGCCAGGGAGATGCAGGACACAGGACACTTACCCGCATGCCCACCTCACCGGGCAGCCCCGGCTCCCCCGGCTCTCCTGGCTCCCCCTGTGTGGAGGAAAGGATGTGTCACAGCCCAGAGGGGTGCAGCCTGGGCCGGCAGCCCAGAGGCTCGAGGGCTTCCATCCCCAGAACTCAGAGCCCAGTGCAGAGGCAACAAGGCTGCCGGTGGCCCGAGCCCAGACCCCGCGGAGGGAGGGGTCCTGCCCCACTCACCCCCCACCCCCCGCTGCCGGTGGTCAGCAAAAGGAAACCGGCCAGAGCAGCGAGGGAGCCGGGCTGGGGGGCGGGGGGCCGTAGCACAGCCCCGCAGGAGGCCCAGCAAGGGATCCCCTCTCTCTCCTTGGTCTCCCTCCAACCTCCTGCGCTACAGTTGAGGTGCCCACAGTCCAGTCTCCCATGCGGCCACAGACGACGGGCAGGGAGAGGTGGGTTTCTGCTGGGGGCGCGGTGGAAAAGTGGGCCGGCTCCCAAACAGCCTGAGTCGCGACCGGGTTTGCCTGGATTCCGTGCCAACCCAAGGTGGGGGTGAGGGGGCGAAGTTGGGGTGCTGTCAGGAAAAGGCTGGTCAGGAGGGTGCCTGGTGCTGCTTGGGTCTCGCACCCCACACCCTCCAGCTGCAAACTAGAGGCCTGGAGGATTCTTCACCTTGGACCCACAAGGGGATCCCCCCCCCCCAGGCTGTGGGGACAGCTGCTTGCCAGCCATGGAGATGGTCACCCCCACAGGCGCAGAGGTGATGCCCGGTGGCAGCCACACCCACCGGCATTACCGTTACCAAGCTGACCGCTGGGACCCCACAATCCTGGCAGAGGCTGCCCGCTGCCCAGGGCCTCTGACCAGGACCCCCTGAGTGCTGCGTGGGAGCCACGTACCCGAATGCCTTTGCTGCCGTCTCTCCCGGGGGGCCCCGGCAGGCCCAGGGAGCCCTAGGAGGAGAGAAACCAGGTGAGCCCGGCGCGAGAGAGGGGGGCCCCGGGGAGGAGGGCGCAGGGCCTCCGAAAGCAGAAGGTCCCCGAGGGGGATTCTGTGTGGCTCTTTCAGGGCCCAGTAGGGGTCGCGGGTGCCTTCTGGGCACCCACGGACGCAACACCCTGACTGGAGCGGCTGAGGCGGGTGGCGTCTCAGCCCCTGGACTTGCCGCGGGCCTCACGATCCCCCCGCCCGTTTGCGGCTCTGAAATTCAGACCGAAAGAGGAAACCAGCAGCGGCAGAGGCCATGCGGGGTGCAGCGCCGCCTGCGCCGTGACCGGCAGCGCTGCAGGGCGGCAGGGTGACGGGGGACAGTGGGGCAGGACAGCGGAGCTGACCCTCTGCGGCCCGCG